AGTGGTATTTTTGCAAATGAACACCCCTAAGTGACATTTTTGCAAATGTGCACATAAAAAGTGATATTTTTGCAATTTTCTCAAAATATATATAGTTTAAGAAAATAACATAAAAGTAAATAATGAAATTTACATCAACATAAAAAATGTAATATATTTTAAATAAGACAAAATATTAATATAAACAAACGTAAAGAGTTAATTTTAAATGATAAAATATTAATACATTTAAAATAATATAACTTAATTTAAAACATACATAGAAACATATATAATTACGTATATATTAGATTTTTCAAATAAGTATAATATATTTTATTTTTTGGTTAGTTAAATAAATTAATAAGTTTGAAACAAAAATTCGCGCACCGCACGAGTATATTCTAATATTATCATATATCAAACATAGTTATAGTTTTATATTTTCTTTTTCTTTTTTCTGAATTCTCATTTATGTTCCATATATTTAAAAATTCTTCACCAATATGTACTTCTAAATAAAATCACTCTGACTAAATAAAATGTGATTTACCTAATTTTATTTTTTTAGATCATGACCTAAAAATCAATTGGTTTTGTTATATACTTAAAACTTATGTTAGATAACCCGCGCATATGCGCCCATTTAGAATTTAGAAGTTCAAATTTATTCACTTTTAAGAGCATAAACCCCAACAAACCAAGACCTGAAATTGTTTGTGTCAAAACTAGAAAACTGCTACAGACAGTAGCACATAAACAGAGTACTAAGAGATTAGAGACATAAACAAAGCACATACGAAATTTACGGAGTTGACGCCCATTTTTGCCTCAAAACTTAAAATATTCCTTTGGAAGTGTGCACAAGAAGCACTTGCTACTGGTGAAAATCTCAACAGAAGAGGCGTGAATAGCCCCATCAACTGTATTAACTGCGGGGAACCAGAGACCATGACTCATCTCCTCTACTACTGCTCGTATGCTATCAAGGTCTGGTCCCTTACTTCTTTCACAACAAGTTTGAATACTCGGCTCTTCCATGATTTTAGAACAGGCTTTAAATGTGGAAAAAAGCTCACATGCCTCCCTCCTGTTGGAATTTGTGATGCAACACTCTTCCCATGGGTTTGCTAGTCGCTTTGGTATACACGAAACATATACATTTCGAAAGAAGGGAAAGATCAGAACTCGAAACAATCACAAAAGCAATAACAGATGTTAGGGAATGGTAATCAGCTCAGGTGGAGGCAAAGAAGGTGAATTTTTCAGAACCAAAGACTGTACCCTCGACGCGTATTTCATCAGACATCATGATCGGTCATATGGATGATGCGTGGAATGAGGAGAAGCTTGCTGCAGGGCTGGGGTGAGTTTTTGACTTGCCAAATACAAAAGATCAGGCCCTGTTGTGTGATTGAACAAGGATCTCATGTGGAGTTCTTTGTTACGTCACCGTTGATTGTAGAGGCTCTAGCACTACGACATGCTCTTTTTAAAGCTAGAAATAGAGGAATATCAAGGCTCTGCATTTTTTCGAACTTGCATATACTACAATTAAGGAAATCCTTGGCATTCTTCAAGATATCCACTGACTCACACAAGAGTTCTCTTTCTTTGAATTCTGCTATGTCCGCAGGGAAAAAAACATTGAGGCTAACTCACTTGCAAAATCTGCATTGAAAAACTTTGCTCTTGTAACCTTTTAAACAAGTCTGAATTGGAATGAAATGAATTAATGACAAACAAAAAAACAAAAAAAAATGTTGGTAAGAATTTAGTACTTTTGACACGCATGTCTACATATAAGAAGATGAATGAAAATGATAGTAGAAGTGTAGACCAAAAAAAAAAATGGTAGTAACAAGTTGTAATTGTATTGTGCACAGAAAAAAAAAAAAATTGTAACTGTACCCACTTAAATTTCATTAATTGAATTGAAGAGACTATTTACTCAGAAATAAAAATGAGAAATTTCCGGCGTTGACCAAGATAAGAAAATGGAAAATCTCTGCTTCATCTTCTTCTCTCTCACAGCTATTACTACTTTCTTCTTCTTCATTGCCCAATTCCTATGGAGTCGAAGATTACCTCCAAGCCCTAGGTCTCTTCCGATCATTGGCCATCTTCACCTCATTAAGAAGAATCCTTTACCACAAGCTCTGCATCTCCTCTCTTCAAACTACGGCCCGGTTCTCTTCCTCAAATTCGGATTCCGTTCTGTTTTAACCCTCTCTTCTCCAGATTCCATCGAAGAATGCTTCACCAATCACGACCAAACCCTCGCGAATCGACCCAGAACCATCACTTCCGATCATTTCAGCTACGGCTACAAAAACTTCGGTTTCGCTCCTTACGGCGATCTCTGGCGAACTCTCCGCCGTCTCTCCACTCTCGAGGTCTTCTCCTCCTCCAGCCTCCAGAAGAACGCTTTCATCAGAAACGAAGAAGTCTCGAATCTATGCTCGATTCTCTACAGATTATCCCCTGACAAAGTGGATCTCAAGTATCGATTCACTCTTCTCACTGTTCACGTCATGCTCAGATTAGTCTCCGGGAATCGTGGAAACGATCCGGAATCGGAGAAGAGGTTCTTGGATGATTTCAAATCGAGGTTTTTCTCGAGCATGTCGATGAGTGTATGCGATTATTTCCCAGTGTTGAGGTGGATTGGGTACAAAGGAATTGAGAAGAGAGTGATTGAGATGCAGAAGATGAGAGATGAGTATCTTCAACGACTTGTCGACGAAGTTCGAACGAAGAAATTCGATTCAAGTAGTGGTTCTTTAGTGGAGAGATTCTTGCGTCTTCAAGAAACAGAACCAGAGTTTTACTCGGATGATGTTATCAAAGGAATCGTAGTGTTGATGTTCAATGCAGGAACTGATACTTCAGCGTTGACAATGGAATGGGCAATGTCTGTTTTACTGAATCATCCTGATAAGCTTGAGAAGCTTAGAGAAGAGATCAAAGCTAATGTTAAGCACAATGGGATTATACAAGACTCTGATCTTTCGAGGTTACCTTACCTTCGATGTGTTATCTATGAGACACTTAGGTTATACCCTGTAGCTCCACTATTGCTTCCTCACTACTCATCTAAGAGATTTAACTTAGGTAGCTACGAGATTCCGGAAAATACAATGTTGTTGGTCAATGCTTGGGCTGTTCATAGGGACGGTGAGTTTTGGGAAGATGTAGATGTTTTTAAGCCAGAGAGATTTGAAGGGTTTGTTGGCGATAGAGATGGTTTTAGGTTCTTGCCGTTTGGAGTTGGGAGGAGGGCGTGTCCTGCCGCTGGACTTGGAATGCGCGTAGTGGCGCTAGCTGTTGGAGCGTTGGTTCAGTGTTTTGAGTGGGAGAAAGTAGAAGAAGGAGAAATAGACATGAAACCTGTGTTTAGTGTGGGAATGTCTAAGGCTGAGCCGCTTGTCGCATTAGCTAAGCCATGGCCTGAAATGGTTCCGATCTTGTCTCATCTCTAGCCGAGAGAATTGATTTGGAGGATGCTTTTTATATCACATCGATAATAAAGGAAGGTGAATGATGATCTTAATGGAATCAAAATGTTTGTTCTTCGTTTTTCGTTCTTTCTTTGTGCTAAACCTGCAAGAAGCAGAGAAGATGATCTTAATCAGGGGGTTTTCGGCCCGAGACCATGAAGGGGCTCGTCTCAACTTCTACTAGAAGGATCATTAATTTAGTGAATGATCACCGTTGCTTCATTCAATCCTTATACGAACTAAAACAATGGTGATGCAACAAACAAAAACAGAAGTCCCACTCAGTGACCTGAATCGGAAACAAGCAAATTTGGAATGCAAACGTTTGATGTTCAATAAACAATCGCTGATACAACTTCCAGCGGATAAGCTTTTTAGCGATGCGAAATTTCTTTATACACGAAAAACCAAAAGAAGAAGCCCAAAAGTAGAGATTCATGCATCATCAATGATAGTAACTTTGTCCCTTGAGTCCATGACCTGAAACCAGAAAACCCATTACAGCTTATGTACCTAGAAATGGCAGAACTCGATTTCCATGTGGGATATAAGCGTGATATGATAATGTAATTGGAATATGCATAAACAGAAGCAACAATGATGCTACCTCTAAAGCTGTTCCAATCAATACCACGAGAGCTATCTGATAATTCATGACCATAAATGAAAGTATAATGGTCACATTAGCTCACTTACTCACTTGTCTTCCATGTCCATAAGCTCTACCTATGCAAAAAGATATCATCGAAGCTCCCTTAAAACAGAGATAGCCCCATAAAAGGCAAAAACAACATCACTTAGTTGAACATACTCTCCTGCTTGATTACCCTCTTAAGCTTTTACACTTGTAAGGATAGTTTTCTTCAATACCAACAAGTCAATGCATACAATCAATTAAATAGGACTTGGGTGTAATTTTGGATTGATATCTTGACTAAATGTTTACATTAAAAGAATTGTATGTTACTATGAAAAAACTCATTTGTAAATGACCAAAAGAAGAAGTCTAAAACATGTATTAATCAATTTAGTTCCGTGGGATAAAATATTCATTTCTCTTGACCAAAAAAAAAAAATATTCAGTTTTTCATCCACTTGAATTAGCATCCATTCTACTAATATGGAGCGCAAATAATCTGAAAAATGAAAAACCTCAGGCATTGACCAAAAATGGAAAATC